GCAGTTTTGGTTGTGGCTTTGATCGATTTTCTTTTTCCCTCATGACTCAGCAATTCTTTCTGCATCTTTTGTAAGTATCTTCTTTTCTGTCTTCCAGGAAAGCTAGAGAATAGCTTTAAAATGCATGTTAGCACTTATCCATTATCACAAAGTTTTAAAAATTGTTTTCTTCATTAAACTATAATAGAATTGAGCCAAGGAGATGACAAGTGAAGACAAGAAAAATACTTGCTATAAAAGCCAGTCAGACAGGAGTATGCTGGGCAGCAGGAGCATCAAGAGAGGCCCTACCTCAGCAAGGCAAGAACCTACTCCCGAAAATTGTCTTCTGCCTCTACCAGTACATCATGGCCTTGGCCTGTCTGAATGGACACACACACACACACACACACACACACACACACACACACAAATAATTAAAAAAATAGGACTATTTTGAATATGAATTACATAAATAGGAAATATAAATCAAATAATTCTTTGATATAATGCTATAGTTGGTTATTAAATATAATAATTTAAAAAAGAATAGTGGCAAATACATCTTGGTCAAGATAAAACATTTAAAATACAATATTAAAATACTAGTTGTTTTGTAAAGCAATGGTTTTGGACAACTGATAATTGAAGAGGGGCCTTTTTCTCAAGGACCATTTTGTCTTTTATCAGTCAAGAATAAAAGAATGAGTTTTTGTGTCATAAACAGCACCATATGACATTCATGTCTTATCTCATCTTGGATTGCTATAACATAGATTATAGCAACAAATCATGCATTGTACATTACTTACTAGGCAGAGAATAAAGTCAAAATATAAAAAATTATAGAATCAAAATAGTTTAAGAAAAACTCCTACCTTTTCTGCTTTTAGTTACAAAAACTTCTTTTGGCATTTACTTACTATTCTTGGACAGTCATATTCAGGTAAACATGGGGAGAAGTGATGGTAGGAAAATAACAAAAATCTGTTTTCTACCATTAAGCCAGTTCTGGGATATTTGCCTTCAGTGAAGGTCCACTCTTCAACAAGGAATAGCAAACAGTCCACTGCTGTGGAATGAATGCTTGTGTCTTTCCTCCCACTCCCCCTCAGTGTGCTGGCACTTGGAGAGGTGTTTTAGGGGTATGATCAGATTACAGGAGTGCCCCTACAAGAGACAGGTGAGAGCATGCTCCTTCTCTTGCTACAAGTGAGAATACAGCCAGGAGGCATTCAACCATCTGTAAGCATTGACAGATACTTCATTAGCAGCCTGTTGGGGTTGATTTGGAGCTATTTTGTATTCAAATATTACGTGCTTGCCCCCCAAGATCTTTACAAGCAAATTCTCACACATCCAAAAGGATGTGGTGTAAATTATCCCTGATTGGCAAATAAAGTTGCCCACACCTGGGCTGGATGAGAGAGGTAGGTGGAGCCTAGGTTCTCCAGCTTTTGGGAAGAGCAAAAGAAGCAGATGTAGCAGGAGGAGAGGAAGCCTGAGAAGCAAGCGATGGGGCAGAATGGACCATGAACACGTGGCCAGAGTGATGAAGCAGATTCAGCCCAGACAGAACTACTTACTGGAAGGAAACTTGGGATATGTAGTTAGGAGATAGCGAAATAGCTTAAAGGACCAGATATCTGCCCAGCTCTAGAATTTTAAGGATTATCATAAATCTAACAAGTTTCTGAGTCTTTTAGTTAAACATAGTGGGTTAAAGAATAACTGCTGCTATATTAGTAACCAGTATTAACTAATATTAAGAGAATAATTAATTCCACGACAGCAGCCAAATTGGTTGATTCTCAGTTTGGGATCTGAGATTACAGAAATGTTATAAATAAGTTTCTGTTGCTTAAACAACCCAGTCTATGCAATTTTGTTATAGCAGGCTGAATTACGATACCTACTAACTAAAAATATCCATAAAAGTGGTGTTGATCTCTTCTGTGAGACTTTTCTCAGTCTTTTTCTGACTTACTCTGTAAACAACAAATCAAATTTTCTGGCATAATTTAAGATATGTGAAACTACAGTGATCAGCACAATGTGATATTAGCCTATGGATCATTAGGATAGAATGGAAAATAGGTCCAAAAATATGTCCATACATAAACAAAGTGAGCGCTGTCCACAAACCACCTTTAGAGCAGTAAACAGGAAGAGATGTGAACATGAGAACCATATTGGAATGCAAACTTGTAGTACTAGTACATAAAGTAAAATGGTAGCTATGATAAATGTCAGTAAGGAGAGGAACTAAGTGGAGCCTTCAGCATGGCCGGTAGAAGCACTTTAGAGATGGATACTGTGCACATCTTATGAAGTTTTCATAGGGAGCTATTCTACTCCTAGGTGAGGAAAATAAAAATACATGTTTATGAAATATTTTATAAGAATGTAATCATAAATAGCAAGTTTATTTACAGTAGCTAAAAATGATAAGTAGACAGGAGAGGTGATTACATATTCAAAACAATGGAATGTATTAAACAACAACAACAAAACCCCAAAAAACAAGCCACTTCAATATGCAAACTTCTGCATAAGTAATTTGAAGCTCCTTTCTCGTTGCCTGGGACATTCACTCTTGGGATGCTGGATCCATGAATAGCCCCATGGATAGAAGAGTTCCTTAACTCTGGAGTGAGGTGATCAAGTCTCCAGACACAGCACCTTTTAATCTTGGTAGCATTTTGGTTGCTTTTCACTTCGGTTAAGACCCTGACTGTCATTACACGGGGTCGGGGTAGGGTGGGGCACCAAACAGCTGAGCCTAGCCTGAATCTTGGAACCACAGAATGATGAACAGAAAAGTGGTTGTTGCTTTAAACTGATGTTATAACAGCAACAAAGGAGGAAATAAACTCTATGAAAACCCCAAATCCTATTACCTTGGTGAATTTTCCAAGGCTAAGTGGTTTGAGATATGCTGTATATCACCTCCAAATCAAAGAAGGCATGTCACCTTGCTTTCTTGGAAGACCTGTAGCTGACTAGGGGTCCCTCGTATTGTGCATTTGTCTGGACAAGAGACATCCTTGAAACTCTGGGCTGGCGCTTTATTGGAGTGACTAAGACAATGAGAATTTAATTTAGATTTTGTCTTAATATGGGGTTATTAGGTTTTTTTTTAAGTTGCTAACTAATTTCTAAGAGAGAAAAAATGACTTGCCAAACCCTTTACCACCACATTCTCCCAGTAAAGTCTCAAATAAGGTAAACAGACTGCATATTTGTGTGTTTAGTGATGAAGGAAATTGCTTGAAAACCATCTTTGGAGACAGTTTACACTACCACCAAGCTGTCCATTTTTTTTAAACCACCATTCTTATTTTGCCAAAATATGATGTATCTTCATCGAGTACCTTTAACCTATTTGTTATTCTTACAGATCTGTCCATGAGGAAAGTACCCAACAAGATTGCTGCTGTTGCCTAAACTTACAGGATTGGCCAATGAGTTCAACACTTATCAGACACTTTAAATTTCATATTGGTGGTCTACACACCCTAATCTGTTGGTCAAATCCAGCCTAACACTTACTTATTAATGAAATTTGAAACAGCTGCATCTATGTTTGTGTTCTCTATGGCTTCTTTTGTGGAACAATGTGGAATTAAATACTATGACAAGAACAATATATATGGAAAATCTAAAATATTACTATCTGGCTCTTTACAGAAAAAGTATGCTAGCCTCACAGCTTCACTGTGTGAAAATGCTTGGATTGTATTCTTATATATAGTCGTGTGCTGAATAATGTCTGGGAAAGCTTTGGTCTTGTGATGGACTAAAGGTTTGCTTGTTTTTTTCCTTCCATATAAACAATAATACAAAACTTTATATTTGCTTGGCATGATGGCACATGCCTACAATCTCAATCCCAGATTGGAGACCTACAATCAGGGTTTCAAAATCACCCTAAAATTAAAATCACACACAAACCGTATGAAGCCAGCCTAGGCTACAAAAGATCTTGTTCTAAAACATTCAAATCAATGGGGGTGGAGGGGCACTATCAAGTCCTCCCTTTTCTCCACCAAGATCGTTTTGCTAGCTCAGCAGTTTAGAAAACACAGCAGCTTTATGTAAGGAATTTGGGACCTGCACCGTATTTTGGAGAACATGCTGACTCTACTACTTAAAGAGAGCAGGGGCTGAAACCCATAGCCAAACTTTGGGTAGAGTGCAGGGAATCATATGGAAGAAGGAGACAGAAAGACCTGCAGGGCTCAGGAGCTCCCAAAAGGAGATCAAAAGGGCCATAAAAACTGAGCCCTGGGGGGCTCTGAAGAGAATGATAATACAACCAAGGACAATGCATGGAGAGGACCTAAAACTCCGGCTCAGATGTAGCCCATAGACTCTGTCTCCGGGGAGCAGGAACTTTCTCTGGCATGAACTCAGTGGTAGGTTCTCTGATCACCTGTCCCTCGCGGGTGCAGCCTTGCCAGGCCACAGAGGAAGACAATGCAACCAGTCCTGAGAAGACCTGATAGGCTAGGGTCAAACAGAGAAGGTGAGGAGGACCTCCCCTATCAGTGGACTAGAGAGGGGCATGGGAGGAGATTAGGAAAGCGGGTGGGATTGGGAGGAAACGAGGGATGGGGCCACAGCCAGGATACAAATTGAATAAATGTATTAAATGGTAATAATAAAAAAGGAAAAAAAAATCCTCCCAAACCTAAAAGAGAGAGAGACACACACACACACACACACTCACACACAGAGAAACCCGAGGCCAAGGGAAGAGGGTCGGGGATAATGAAATGCCATACACTGGAAGTGAGGTTTTAAAAATTGCATTGCCCTGGCTCCTCTTACCTCCTTTCAAATCCCTCCAGCAAAAAAACAAAAACAAAACAAAACAGGGCTCAAGCTTTCGTTCAAGCTTCTGAAGACTCGGAATGGACCTTCCTACCGCGCCGGGATGACAGCGGTTGGGATTTTCGGTAACTGCACACAAAAGCAGAGAAACCAGAGCAGAGCCAAAGCGCCCCGCCGGCCGCGGCCCCTCGCGCTCCCGCCAATCACAGCAGGAACTGCGCTCGCGCTCCGGAGCCCGGACCAATGAGCTGCGTCGGAGCGGCCTTCGAGGGGCGGGGTGTCCGTTTCCACAGAAGCCGCGGCCGGTTACTAGCCTCGGCGGGCGCCTCGGCGGGCGCGCTCTGGCCACCGCTGCCGGTCCTGGGGACTCCCGGGCTTCTCGCCCCGCGCGCCCTGCCCTTCCTCTCTGGCCTTCTGCTCTCCCCTCTGCACTCTCCGCTGCCGAGGCCGCCCAGGGCAGGACGGATCTCTCAGGACCTCCGGGCACTGCAGGGAGTGGCGGCTGCGGATGACGTCACGGCGACGCGCGGAGGCGAGTCCGGCCGGGCTCTGAGTGTGAGCGGCGGTGACCCTAGGAACGCTGGGGCGGCGGGGTGGGGGGTGGGGGGGCGGCGGGGGCGGAGGGGCGGGGGCACCCGGAAGTGGAGCCTCTGGAGCTCACCCTGCCTGCGCCTTGTGGCCTTGGTGCGCAGGCTCTCCACTGTCACCCGGAGGCAGGCGTCCAGGCCCCCACTGCTTCCTGCGATGTGTTCTCCGGACTGCTGGAGGGCCTGTGTAGAGCGAGGGTCCCGGGACAGAGGAGGGACAGAGTGTCTTCCTAATCATGAGCTCACCAAATGACAGCCCAGTTCTTGACCTGCCCTCAGACAGGTCACATGGCTCTCTCGCTTCCAGGCCTGTAGGAACCCCCGTAAAACATGACTGACATAATGTGGAACGTGTTAGAAGCCAAGGGGCTTTCAGTCCCACCTCTGCCATTTAAACAGCTCTGTGGCCTGGGACGCATCACTTAACCTTCCTGGCTTCCGTTTCTGTGCTTGCAAACTGAGAACAATATAGTTGTAATAAGTGAGATTAAACACGGGTCCTAATAGGTGCCACTGAATTTGTCAATTGAGTAGCTTAACTGGCTCTTGGTGATCTGTAAGGCTAAGTTTTGTGTCACGCAATGCCTTACAGCGTGTCAAGGGCTTGAGGTTTAGTTAAAGGATCAAACTGTAGAAATCTTGCTGCTTTTGAGCTTTACTTCATACCTTTGTCTTATGGTAAGACTGTGACCATATTTGTAAATTTTAATAGTTAGACCTTTTTAATTTTTGCTGTTTTCTGCTATTTTTTCAATGCATATTAATAGTCTTTGTTTTGCAGGCATCTCAAGTTCTGAGCAAATAGACTTGTTTCTTATTAGTCACTTTTGTTAACTGTATGCAGATAAATGGGAGTCAAGTTGAGTATAGAGGTGAGGGGCTGAATTCTGTTGGAGGTCACTGGTCCACCCCATTCCCCATCCCTCTGGTTTAGTACTCAATTTATGACTACTTCAGTAATGACTTCTAAAATTTCTACAAAGAATAGATAGGTCTTAAAGGTTGTTCTGTAAAATCAGTTCTGATCAACTTAGGAGGCCTATAAGTAATTTTAAGAAAGGTTGGTTGGTTCAGGAGAATTACTTTAAAAGGGAAAAGTGGAAAAATATAAAGGCTGCTGAGAAAACCTTAGCAGAGTGAGCAAAAAGGGTTCCAAGTTTAAAAGAGGGTGGGAGATAAAGTAAGACAAGTCTAGTGATTCTACTTTTTTCTCTGCACATTACTTCAGTCTGTGAAAGTTGTTCTATTCTTGTAGAAGAGGAAAACAAGGCCCAGTGTGGCTAATGGCTAATTGATTGTCCATGTCCTGGGGCCAGTAAGAATTAAGAAATGATGTTTTGTGAGTGAGTCCTTTCCAGTAGATTGTGCTGTCTCTGAGCCATCCAAGCATGGTTAAGTTTTGTTTACTTGTTCTCAGATTAGATAGTAAAGAAGAATACATTTTTTTTTTAAAGAGTTTTCTAAATTAAGTTTGGTACTTGAGGGGATAGTTTAGAAAATTATGCTGACCAATATATTAGAGCATCATGGGCAAATGTGTAATATTTACATATGCTCTGTACTAGTTTTATGATGTTCCAACATTCTAATTTCTTTGTGTTGTTGATGTCTCTTTCACCCATGGAAGCATTTTAAATTGATTTCTTTAGAATATTTTATGAAAAAATTATACTGACATTTCATCTTTAGCTCTGTTTTAGTTCACTTCTTTGGTGATGTTCTAAACCACTGACCAAAAGCAACTTGAGAAGAGAGCATTCATTTTCACATACAGGTTAAAATTAATCATTGAGGGACGCCAAGGCAGGAACCGAAGCACAGGCCACAGAGCAGTGTTGCTTAATGTTTTGCTTATTTAGCTTGCTTTCTTATACAACCTGGACCACTTGCCTGGGTGGCACTGCTCACAGAAGGCTAGTTGTTCCTACATCAATCATTAATCAAGAAAATGCTCCCACAAACATGGCCAAAGACAAGGCCAATAGAGACAGTTCCTCAGTTGAGATTCACTCTTCCATGGTGATTAATTTGTGTGAATGTTTCCCATTGCTCTCCACATTTCATGTAGTCTAGGACCCAGCCCGTGGAATAGTGCAGCCTACATTTAGGGTGATTCTTTACTTCTTAGCCCCACTAAGAAAACCCCCAATAGGTATGCTCACTAACCTGCTGGATTAAGGCCAACTAACCAACTGAATTCTTTGTGTCTAGCTAATAATTAAAATTGGCCGTCCCAGGTCCCCATTTCTATACACATTAACTTTATTTACCATTTAAGATGTAGTTAATACTTGTAGGTGATAAAGCAAAAAATTTTTGCTTTATAATCTGATAAATTTTTTAGAATAGTTGTGTGTGTATGTATGTTTGTGTGTGTGTACACCAAAAGCTCAGAAAGCTACAGGAGAACTCACTTAAAATACTGCTGCCAACATGAGTCTCATTTTATGAAATATTCCCTAAGGAGATTCCCTCATGATGCTGGTTTTCATTTTTACTTCCAAGTATAGAAACCATCTTTCTTTTAATCCCTCAGAAAGGTTGGTCAGGTGAAACAACAGGTGAAAAGCAGCAGTCCATCATATGCATTGAGAGTACTAAGCCTTACATATTTTCCAGGCATTGCTTAGTTCTCCAAGGCTTGTAGGTGTTTAGGATTCAACTATAAATAAGACATTCTTTCTTGAGATTCTAGCCTGTGGAGAGATAAATATTTAAAACATGTAAATGAGTAAAAGATAAATGCTAATTCCTCCCTAGAGGGCTGTGGCAGTTATAAAGCAAATAGACCCACAGGTGAGTTTGCTGTGACTTCCCAGAGCGTGTTCCTCTTTAGTCTTAGTTTGGCTTTTCATGTGGTCTGTGTATTTAAGGTTCTTCTGGATTGTAAATATCCCCATGTATTTTTCACAGTGTGATGCTGCCCAGTCAGTCAGCAGCAAGAGATCAAGGAGGAACATTGCAGGCCCTCTGGGCCTTTTGAATTTCTTATGAATTTTAGCTGTTAAATATTTGTCTCTGCATTGTATAAAGAAACGTCAGACAAAATTTAATACAATTTTTTTTGCAGGTGTTCTGGGAAGTTTCTGTCTTGCTAATTAAATATTGTGAATAATTTCTACCTACAATTTCACATGTACCTAAACTTCTGAAAAAAATTTGGACATGATGTATTTTAATATGGGAATCTAAGACTAAATTATAAATATTTGAAGGCAATATAGAAAACTTTAACATTAACTTTCATCTTGTGTGAAGAATCACAGTAAAATAGACATATGACCATTTGTAATTAGAGTTGTGAAAACTTAGCCTCCTTTTTATTGATGTATTAGTTCAACACTTTAAGCCATTTTGGAGGAATTCATGTATGAACAGTCACATTTTTTTAAATGACATCTTCAAGGCTAAATGAAAGACTCTTGCTAAAGTTTGGAAATACTGTAATCTTTAATTACTATCTTTATCAGAAAAGCGTATTCTAGATCTACTGGAAATGGGAATAAGGAAATGTAACAGAAAGGACTTTCAAAATGATTTCTTTAAGAGGAAACAACAGCTTCAGTGGCTTAGGCCTGATGGAACCAGTACAAAGCCCATGGTTTGCATATTTGTTTTCTAGTCCTCTTGGGTGGTTATGGAAGGATTACCACAATCCTTCAGGAAATAGGTCGGTAAAGATACCCACACTCAGGGCTAGTGAGAGAGCTCAAAGGTTAAGAGTGCTTGCTGTCCTGGCAGAGGACCGTGTTCAGTCCCAATACCCAGGCAAGTCACTCACAACTCCTGTGTAACTCCAGCTCCAGGGGACTCTGCCCTCTGTGTCCTGAACCACTTCGGACTCATGTGCGTGTGCCCGTGCACAGGTGCATGATTAAAAATAAATCTGAAAAAGATTTTTGTACTCTTAGACAAATAGAGAAAATAGCAAGCCTTTTGAAATATGTATAGAGACTGGGAATTGGTGTGCAGTGCAGTTGTGGTGCTATTTTGAGTTACAAGAACAGTGAGTAGCAGTTAAGACAAGGTCTCATTATGTAGCTCTAAATGGCCTGGAACTTGCTGGGTAAACCAGACTGGCTTCAGACCCACAGATACCTGCCTGCTTCTGCCTCTCAAGCACTAAGACGTGCACAGCCTTGCTGAGATAACAGTTACATTTTTGATATTGTCTTTGAAGAGTTTTATACATGATTGGGATCTTTATATCGTAGAATAGTGACAGAAGAAAAACCCTACTGAAATGATGAGTTTATGTAACATGTTTCCTACCTTTCAGCATCTGTAGAAAAGTTGTTGCTGAAGCACCTTATAAAAGAGAGTTACTGCTTTGATGGAGGCTCCTGGCTGGGATGGAAGTCATTCACAGGGCATGTTGTCATATCTCACACAGGAGGGAGAACCTGTCCTGCAGTGTGCCAGTGAGAAGCACCTCAGCAGGTAACCGTGCTATTGGCAGAACAAATCTCATTTTCTAATGTCTGAACCGTATCAGTAATCACCCAAGAATATCCCTGTCACATTTAGTATTTATTTATTAAAATATACCTACATAATCTGACTATTAAAATACTTATTTAGCAGTTTAGAGTTGTTGTCAGTCTTTTTATCATTTCTTTGTTCGCTTTACTCTTTTGAGACAAGGCCTTATTATGTAGCCCAGGCTGTCACTGAGCTCTTGGGCTTCTTGCCTCAGCCTTCCATGTGCTGGCATTGGTGTGTGGTTTAGGTTTTTATTCTTAAGGAAAGCAATTGGAAATCCAACCCAACCCATTAAAAACTTGTAAAGTGAATATTATTGCCTGGAATATTGCTTTGTAACAAATAATTATCTTATTTTGCTTTTTTTTAGTGTGAAATTTACTTGTTATTTGTATGAATTAATATCACCCACAATAGCAATCTTAAAATGTCATTATTGTTGTTACAGGTAGTATAGACAAGCTTGTAGTTTAGCATCCAAAAATGAAAAATTATGTTTCATCAACTATAATTGTAAATTTTATGCCCATGGTTTTGAATGAGGTATAGTTATTTATTATAAGCTTTTTACTTTAAGCCATCGGTACTTAAGAACAGAATCTTCTCCTTGAAATATCTGTAAAAGGCCAATAATTCTATTTATGTGCATATGTGCTGTGTATGTGGTGTACTTGTGTAGTGTGTGTGTTTATGTGTATGTATATGTGTATAATGTAAGTATGTTTATGTGTGTGTGTGTGATTTGTGCTGTATAGGTCAGAGGACAATTTTCAGAATCTTTTTGGTCCTTCTATGAGTTCCAGGGTCTGAACAGATCTCCAACCTTGGCATCCAGTGCCTTTACCTGCTGAGCCATCTTTCTGGCCCCATCAATTTTAGGAGTTTTTATGAGACATAAAACTCTGTAAAGAAAGAAACAGTACTGAGTGATGGAAGGCATGCCGCTCTCACAGCACTTTCTGCAAAAAGAAGCTTGATTCAAATTTAGTTATATGTTGATTTTTTTTATTTACTAAAAATTTTAAAGATATATTTATTTTATATACATGAGAGTTTTGCTTCCATGTATGCATGTGTACCACATGCATGCTTGGTGCCTGGAAGCCAAAGAGGGCATGACTTCCTCTAGAACTGGAGTTACAGACAGTTGTGAGCTACTGTGTGGGTTCTGGGAATAGAACCTGGGTCCTCTGAAGGGCACCAGGGCTCTTAACTACTGAGCCCTCTCTCCAGCCCTATACATAAATTTAAATGCACATGACTTTTGATTGCATAGAAGCAAAACATGGGTAAGAAGAATTATTCTCTTCCCTGTACTCCAGGATTATCTCTTTGCTCCTCGTTTCAGCCCATGTTTGTCCTGGATGCCTATAGTCATGGTGGTGCAGCTGTCTCTAGAGGCATCTAAATCGAACCTGTCAGTCTGTTCTTGTCTTACATAAAAAGTCTCCAGTTTGTGTATTAGATGTGACTTAAAGTTTTTGTCCGCTATTAGGCTCAGTCAAGACACTGCTAATCAAAAGACGGAGTTGGAGGCAACACTTAAGGAAGCTGAGTCTGCATCCTGCTCAGTAGAATTACTTTTGCCGTTACTTAAGAACACTGTGAAAGGAATTCACTTAGAAAATGTGAGTGCTGGACTTAAAAACACGGCTAATGAGATAGAATGTGGACGTAATATTCAGAATGCCCTGACAAGGACTCACGTCTTAATGGGATGCCACATACGGTGCATGATACCAAAAATGGGGGAGCGGATAAGCACTCTTTACTCCTGTCGTTAGCTGCAGTTCTTTTCATAAAAAATAGTCTCAGTATTGCTTAGCTTCTTTAGGTGTACAGATTTTAGTATGTTTATCCTGTATTATATGTCTAATATCCACTTATAAGTGAGTTTATACTGTGTGTGTTTTTCTGCTTCTGGGATAGATCACAGGATGATCTTTTCTAGATCCCACTATTTACTTTCAGATTTCATAATTTCCTTGTTTTTAGTTGCTGAGTATTATTTCATTGTGTAAATGTACCATAATTTCTGTATCCATTCCTTTGTTGAAAGACATCTGGGTTGTTTCCAGGATCTGGCTATTATGAATAAAGCTGCTACGAACATGACTGAGCAAATATCCTTGTTGTGTACATGGGCATCTTTTGGATATATGCCTACGAGTGGTATTGCTGGATCTTGAGGAAGTGCTATTCCTACTTGTTTGAGAAAGCACCAGATTGATTTCCAAAGTGGTTGTACAAGTTTACATTCCCACCAGCAATGGAGGAAGGTTCTCCTTTCTCCACATCCTCTTCAGCATGTATTGTTACTTGAGTTTTTTATTTTAGCCATTCTTATGGGTGTAAGGTGAAATCTCAGGGTTGTTTTGATTTGCATTTCCCTTATGACTAAGGACGTAGAACATTTCTTTAAGTGTTTCTCTCCCATTCTATATTCTTCTATAGAGAATTGTCTTCTTAGCTCTGTACCCTATTTTTAATTGGATTACTTGATTTGTTGCTGTTTAACTTCTTTAGTTCTTTATATATTCCAGATATTAGGACCCTAGGTAAGATGATCAAATCCTCACTCAGAAAGACAAATGGGCTGGACATTGGAAGAAGGAGAAAACAGGAAACAGGACAGGAGCCTACCACAGAGGGCCTCTGAAAGACTCTACCCAGCAGGGTATCAAAGCAGATACTGAGACTCATAACCACACTTTGGACAAAGTTCAGGGAATCTTATGAAAGAAGGGGGAAATAGTAAGACCTGGAGAGGACAGGAGCATCAAAAGAACCAAATATATCAGGGCACAGGAGTCTTTTCTGAGACTGTTTCTCCAACCAAGGACCATGCAAGGATATAACCTAGAACCCCATGTAGCCCATGGCAGCTCAGTATCCAAGTGGGCTCCCTACTAAGGGGAACAGGGAGTGTCTCTGACACTCCCTGAACTCAGTGGCTGACTCTTTAACCCCTCCCACCCCCCAGGGAGGAGCAGCCTTGTTAGGTCACACAGGAGGACATTGCAGCCAGTCCTGAAGAGACCTGATAAGCTAGGGTCAGATGGAAGGGGAGGAGGACCTCCCCTATCAATGCACTTGGAGAGGGGCATGGGAGGAGATGAGGGAGGAAGGGTGGGATTGGGAGGGAATGGAGAGGGGGGCTACAGCTGGGATACAAAGTGAATAAACTAATATAAAAAATAAAAATTTAATTTAAAAAAAAAAGATAATCTCAGATGTGCACTTGGTAAAGACTAAGCTGGAGACTGCAGGTTGATGTGTGACTTACCTGGCCTTGAACCAGAGAATGAGAATTTCTGAAGGGTGGATTTAAAACTAAAATTGTGGTCTGGAGAGGTGGCTCAGTTGTGAGGACCACTGGCTTCTCTTCCACAGGTCTGTCTCTAACTCCATTTGCAGGAGAGCTGGTGCCCTCTTCTGGCCTCTGTGGGCACCAGGCATACATGGTCACAGATGAACATGCAGACAAAACACTCATTCACATAAAATGAAATAATAAACCTAAAAAAAAAAAAAACAAAAACAAAAAACCTCTTTGAGAGATGCCATTTTTTTTTTTTTTTGTGGTGTTATTTGGAACAGAATGATTTAACAATTGCAAATAAATTGCACTTTGGGACAAGAACATCTTAGAGGAAATACTGCAAAGCTGTGGTGCTTTGCAACTTAATTTAACACACCATGTACATTCGGTCTATTATCGGTCAGCTTGCTAGGGCTTACCAGTACTATCTGCAAAATAATGATTTTGGCACTGGGGAACAGTTCCTCATTGATAATATCACTCTAAGATGTTTTTCTTAATGTTGTTTTAATATGTGCTTCTTTTGTTTTGTCAGGATAATCTTTCTGCGTCCAATTTAAAGAAGATTTTTGAACAGAAGGAAATACTGTCAAAGGAATTAGACACCTTTAACCGTGTGAAATTAGCCTTAGAACATCTTCTTAAACGGCCAGACTGTGAACAAGTAAGGCACCCGGGCTGTGTGCTCCTGCAGTATGCTGCCTCCCACCTGGAGAGCATTTCACTTCTCTAATTGAATCTCACAATATTGAGAAAACGTTGAATTGCCTGTGTGTCGTTATTTATACATACTTCCTCCACCCAAATAAAAGGTGTTATACATGCTCTGCTTTCACCCTACTCTGAAGGAGCATGCCAGAGCTGCTGGCTGCTTTCTATAACTTAGTACATCATTCAGTCTCTTATTACCATATCCTGTTCCCCCTCCCACTGCTAGAATTCAGAGTTATAATGTAGCATTTCAAGATTCTTTAGAAAACAGGTTAATGTGTGCGTGTGTGTGTGCATGTCTCTGTGATTTTTGTATATCATTGGCCTATACTTTCTGAGGCACTCTTGAGATTAATTTAGCAAAGTAACTGATCATAAATTATGTGCAAAATAATACTGAGTGCTTCCGGCAGTAGTCTTAACTAACAGAAACTGCACTGTGCGTAGCAGCTGTCCATGCTGGCCTTTTAAGGGGTGCCTGCGCTGTGTTTTATTCTTCCATTCAAAGCCCATGCACGCAGAGCAGGACTGCACCTACCATTTTAGAAGTGTGTGCGTTTCATATTCCACAAAGTCCATCTGCAGAGTTCAAGTTAAGATTCCTTATTGTTAGCTTCTAGAAATAGTTAATAATGTAAGGGCTAGGTGTGTAGGTCAGGGCAGACTGATTAACTACTGTACTCCCCTTGGCTTAGTCCACGGGGAGGGAAGAAAATGACAGAATGTATATAGGGGAATTACTTAGGGCATTAGAATGGGTAAAGGATTTTTTTTAAGATATACAATGTACAGAAAACAAAGTGAAATATAAAAATGTAACATATCAAACTAAAAAGCTTCTAGGCAAAATAAGATTATACTGTATAGAGGCAATATACAGAATAGGAGAAAATATTTGCAAGTTATAGTTCTTGCAGAGAGTTGATCTCTGTAAAAAATGAACTCTTGATAGACAAGAGTTCACGAAAACTTGATAGACAACAATCATGTTTAAGAAAGAAAAATGTGGTTTTAAACACTGATGTTTAGTGTCTTTTCCTCACAGACAGGAGACAACTTAGCCAGCTTGTTGAAGGACCTCAGTGACCATGAAAGTGAGAACAGTGTAAGTTATTCTCTACTCAATAGCCATTCATTTGGACTTTTTTTTTTTTTTTTGCTTCTTTGTATGTTGCTTGGTTTTAGCCAGTATTATCCAAGTTCTGAATGTTTTAATTTTTACCTTGTATTTCTTGAAGAACCTTAAGAAGAAAGCACTTGAAAAGGAGACCTATATCCAAGAACTTTCATGTCTGTTTCAGAATGAAAAGGTAAACATGTTTTGAGCTTTTTACCCTAAGTTACTGTATTTTGTTTGTATTGATTCCTTTGGCTTCCCCCTTGATCTCATAGCCTCAGCTATAAGCATAGTGAAGGCTTTTTGGCAGTTTAGAGCAGTATTAATTTTATGTGTCAAATAGAATGTATTAACTTTTAAAGTATTTTTTGTTGTTTTTTATTTGGGGGAGTGGTTATGGTGTTTAGGCTACTTGGCATAACTTGTCGCAAATTCTATCCCCCCGTACTGGGTGATGGATCAGTCAGAAGACCAGGACCTGAGTGTAGTACCCAGAACCCTTGTAATTCTGGCCCTGGAAAGGGCTGAGACAGGAGGATGCCTGTGGTTCGCTGGCCAGTCAGACTAGCCGAATTGGTGAATTCCAGGCCAGTGAGCGCTGCCTCAGAGGAGCTGGGTGATGATCCTGAGGATGACACCCAAGGTTGTCCTGTGGCCTCCGTGTACACATGTGTGTGTCTGTGTCCCCACAGCTGTACACAGCTGAAAACACACATGTATATGCACATGTCCATTTAAGAAGTATACATTTATATTTTAACTTTTTTTGGCAAAATTAAATTTTGTTATTTGGAGGAACATTTTTGACATACTTAAAGTTTATGTGGGGGGAGAGATGGGGAGATTCCTAGGAGCTAGAAGGCATGGAACACATGTGGGAGTTTTACATGCAGTGTGTTGGTGGGGCCACAGTATATGGAAAGGAGTGCTCTTTCTCCTGCTCTGGCTGAGTCTGACCCGGGGCCCTAACAAAGATGAAGGGCGCATAGTAACTCATTATTATTATTTGTCTTGTCTTTTACAGCAAAGTGCTTTGAAAGCAAACCGGTTTTCTCAGTCAGTCAAAATCGTACATGATCGTCTACAGCTCCAAATTCAGAAAAGGGAAGCCGAGAATGATAAACTAAAAGAACATGTACAGGTTAGAAATATTTATTTTATAGCCAAGTAAGAAAATTGATGAAAACCTGACAGCACTGTTTAATTGTGGAATGCAGATGATAATTAAAGAATGGAATTTTGGCATTTCTGTGGGAAACAAAGGGTCTGGCTTGAACATTTAGGTATAACTCCTTGTATGAAAACGTTTGTGTTTTGTATTCAGTCCAGGAAGAATATGTGGAGATTGAGTTCCTTTTCAATCTTTCTTTTGGTATAGTTGATTTATGTTTACTGTGAATATTTTTTAATTATTGACACATAAGTTAAAAAAGCTAAGAACAGCAAAAATATTGTTCCATTTCATTGAATGTTGTTTCAGTCTTTTTCTTTGTCTGTATAGTGCTTTATGCATGTTCTCGCATGCATCTAATAGGAAATCAGTAAGGTAAGTTTCTCTTGTTCCCAATTATGGTAATTGTGAAATGAGCTTACTTTTGTATTCAGACCACTGAGAAGTCCCCTTTGTACCTGTGCAGTTAGAAGGAATGTCTGGCTTAAGTATGTATCACTAATGACAGTCGCTTGAGGCCAGAGCCCAGAAGTGCTATCACATGTCACAGCCTCCCTGGATCCACTATCTTGTTTCTGCCAAAGGAAAAGAAACAGTGTGCCTACCTTCAGAGACTTCTGCAGATCAGGGGTGAGGATGGCTAGGTAGACTTGATCTCAGTTCCTATTAACTGCCCTGACTCAGGACAGACACCTGCACCTGCTTCACGAACTCCATGTGTCCTTCAGTGGACATTTAAAAAACATTATGTCCCTGTCCTTCCCTAAGGGCATTAAGCAGGCTTATCGAGAATGTAATTTGTTACAGTTAAATTTGTTCTTTGACAGTTTCATCTGTGTCTGCTGTATTCTGGTTACTCTCCATTTACTTTCTCCTATTTCTCTCCCCTCTCATCAACCCCTCCCCATCCCTACTGTTCCCTTCCCTAGATACCCGACTTTCTGTCTTGTTTTAGTTTAACCGTGGCCATCTGTGTAACCATTGGGTTGGGACTGCTCACCAGAGCCTGATGGGGTCAGTAGGTAACCAACTGAAGACACTGATTACCCTCCCCTGAACTCTGTCTCTTGGAGCGCCTTCCCTGTAGCTCCCGTGGATGCTCTTTGCATGGGTGACGTAGGACAGGATGGCTGCCCTGCTGTGCCACTGCTGTCCATGTATGCGCAGGCAAATGATGTGGGTTATCCTGTCAGTCACCTGTTTCAGGTTACCTTACACGGCCAAATCCAGACCTTTCAATACGTACCCTCCTAATTTTATTCTTGCTCTCTTTTTTTTAAAAAAACTTCGTATGTGAATTTTTAAGCAAATGTACAAACTGTTTATAATATAGTGCTGACACCGTGTGGCCATCTAGAGGAATGACTGTGGATTTCCTGTGGGCGGATCCTTTCTCACACACTGACTCTCTAGTTTTTTTCCAATTATTTACTGTAGTGCTCCATGAGACTTTTATTGTCTGTTTGTTTAAGATAAGTTTGTAGACCGGTGTGGAGGTGCATGCCTAATATCCCAGCACTTAGAGAGGCAGAGGCAGGCAATCTCTGTCAGTTGGAGGACAGCCTAGGAACACACAGAAACCCTGTCTCAAACAAAACAACAAAAATAAACAAACAAAAAACACAAAGAAAAAAAGAGATAAAGTTGTAAAGGCAGTTGAAGAGGAAGTTGCTGCTTCATAGTTTATCTAACTAGTCAGAGAAGAAATCCAAAGATGTGCTGCTTTATGGTAACATTAGTGGGAGACATAGCTTGTGTTTGCCACAGGACTAAGTAGAGTCCTGAGGTTATTTTCAGTTGAAATTCCATCCCAGGAATGGGTAAGTCAAGGACAGATTCTATAATTTCAGAATCTTTAACATCCGAATAATTTTCAAAATAAAAGAAGCATGAGTCTTTAGTTGTTAGTTTTTACATACTTAATAATCCCAGTGTTTACACACAGCACATAATGCTCAGATACTTAGAATAATTTGAAAGAAAACTGTAAAGTCATCACTCTAAACTGGATCTCTCATGTGTTGGAGGATTGGTCCGGCCATTTAGCACCATCCCTTCTGGCTGTGAGCCTTCCCTCAGACATGGTTTGACCTGTTTCGTCAGATGGTGTGGCCCCGGCAGCCAGTGGTTTAATCTACTTCGCTTGGCTTTAGAGTTGGTCACTTCATGATCATTTGCCTCTGTGGGGTAAAGCAGTCCCTTACTCCCCTGGCTGTAACTTTCCAGCAGCAGCACATACCTTCTGTTCCTCACATTAAGTTTGGTCACTGGGTCTCTGCTCATCCTGTCCTCATCCTCTATGCCCTGTGCATCTTGGGAATCTGAGGCGCTCTCATGTGTCTAGAGACCAGTTCCCTTTGAGCTTTTCATATGTGGGATTGAGACCATATTTCCAGATTGCTGTTTTTGAATTGCTCTGTGTCATATTTTATATGTGACTTAAATGATGTTTTATCACAGAAACTTTAAGCGAGTTGATGTTTCTGCCACAATTACAAATATTAGTCTCTATTCTTAGTACCATTAATTTTATATAGACTAATATTTTGAATTTTCATTTTTTAAACTTGTTACAATAAGCTTTGGTTATATCACCTCTTACCAGTTTAACTTTTTAACTAAACATGATTAGTTGTTTTGATAAAATCTGTGTGGAAGATGATATGTGCATTTTGCAACATTTATATAAATATTGAAGCTCTAATATAATTTAATTACTTTTACATTTTTCAGAACTTGGAAATCCAAATAGCCAAGTGGAACTTGCAGGTGAAAATGAGTAAACAGGAGGCTGTATCCATCAAAGAAGCAAGTAGCCAAAAAGCTGCAGCTCTGAAAAAAGCATCAAAAATTTATAAACAAAGGCTGAAACACTTTACAGGGGACGTCGAACACCTCACTTCCAAAATTAAAGAGCAGGTGAGTGTGTGCGTGCTTATGTAAGATTTCCCATGTGCTTAGGCACCATAGTGAGAGAGCATAGTTAGACAGCGTAGTTAGTGAAACAGTATAGTTGGTGTAGTTAGACAGCATAGTGAGACTGCATACACAGCATTAGTTAGTTGGATAGCAAAGTTATTTGAATAGCGTAGTTAGATAACATAGGCAGCATATAGTTAGGCAGCATAGTTAAATAGCATGGCTAGTTAGACAGCATAGTTAGATAACAGTTACATAACATGGCTAGACCGCAGAGCTAGCATAGTTATTTGGATAGCATAATTAGCATATGTAGTTAAATAGCTTATTAGGTATCATAGATAGCATGGTTAGTTAGCATAATTGGTTAGCATACTTAGATAGCATAGTTAGCATTGTGAATAGCATTTAGATAATGGTGTGAGTCTTATCCATGTTTTTATTGATGTTATAACATTTGGTCATCTTTTTTGCTTTAGACTTTTATTTTGAAAGATCATGTATCATAAAATACAAAATTTGAATTTTATAGCACTTTTGGGCGGTCAGTGTGTTCCATGCTCCCCCAACCCACCTCCTGCCACCACCAACACACACACACACACACACACACACACACACACACACACACACACA